CGATCAGTGTTTAAATTATGTTACAACTCCATCAGTGTTTAAATTATGTTACAACTCCATCAGTGTTTAAATAATGTTACAACTCCATCAGTGTTCAAATTATTGTTACAACTCCATCAGTATTTAAATTATATTACAATTCGATCAGTGTTTAAATTATGTTACAATTCGATCAGTGTTTAAATTATATTACAATTCGATCAGTGTTTAAATTATGTTACAATTCGATCAGTGTTTAAATTATGTTACAATTCGATCAGTGTTTAAATTATGTTACAACTCCATCAGTGTTCAAATTATTGTTACAACTCCATCAGTATTTAAATTATGTTACAATTCGATCAGTGTTTAAATTATGTTACAATTCGATCAGTGTTTAAATTATGTTACAACTCCATCAGTGTTTAAATTATGTTACAACTCCATCAGTGTTCAAATTATTGTTACAACTCCATCAGTATTTAAATTATATTACAATTCGATCAGTGTTTAAATTATGTTACAATTCGATCAGTGTTTAAATTATGTTACAATTCGATCAGTGTTTTATATGTCAAAACAAAAGTTTCTTATTTATCACAGGATAGGATCAGTCATTCTCTTTTTATTTCCTGTAGGAAATATTTTTGGTACACGTCATGTTTTCTACACTTCATATTTTGTAAACGTCATGTTTTGTACACGTCGCGTTTTGTACACGTCATGTTTTGTACACGTCATGTTTTGTGCACATCATGTTTTGTGCACGTCATGTTTTGTGCACGTCATGTTTTCTACACTTCATGTTTTGCAAACGTCATGTTTTGTACACGTCGCGTTTTGTACACGTCGCGTTTTGTACACGTCATGTTTTGTACACGTCATGTTTTGTGCACATCATGTTTTGTGCACGTCATGTTTTGTGCACGTCGTATTTTGTAGAAGTCCAAAGATCAGGGACGGATTAAATATCGAGGTACCCTTGTATTTTAAAATATAAACCTGAAAATTGGTTTCGGTATTTAATCGATGTTTCTTGCATCTTCAGGTGACAATATGTTCTTCAACATTTGGTAACATAATGTCTGACATCACAAATAACCTGTAAATATGTATGACATTTAAGCCACTGTATAGCTAAATACGAGCTTTAGAAGTAATTTACGTGACACAAGCATATCGTTGACACGATGTTGATAACACTTCTTCTTCTTCTGCCTTTCTGTCCCCCAATGGAGCATAGGCCCTCAACCAACTCACGCCAAGTCGTTCTATCCTTCACCATTGCATGGAGCTCTCCCCATGTCCTCCCAATCTTTCTAACCCCGTTCTCCAGCTCTCTTCTCCATGTGTTTTTTGGCCTTCCTTTATTCCTATGCCCCTGTGGGTTCCAATGCAAAGACATTCTAGTTATGCTGTTCTCCTGTTTCCTCAGTGTGTGCCCTATCCAACGCCAGCGTCTTTTCCTCACTTCCTGATCCACTGGAGCCTGTTTAGTTCTCTCCCAAAGTTCTACATTAGTTATTTTATCATACCATTTTATTCCCTCTATTCTGCGCAGGCACCAGTTAATGAATGTCTGTAATTTATTAGTAATTGCCTTGGTTGTTCTCCATGTTTCCGCCCCATACAATAGTACTGATTTGACATTAGAATTAAAAATTTTTAGTTTAGTATTTCTTTTAATTTCTTTTGACCTCCACAAATTCCCTAGTGCTATGAAAGCCCCTCTTGCCTTTTTTATTCTTATTTTAATATCTCTATCAGTTCCTCCATCTTGATAACACTAGTTAGTGCTAAATCCTTGTTTCAAACAAATGGTCTTTCAGTACTCAGACCTCTCAGATAAAAGAGCTGAAAGATTGGCTGGATCCGCTATCACACCCTACGGTCAACCTATGGATCATGATAATATTAATAAATGGAAGGGTGGAGGACTTTGGGAGCAGTGAATTTACATCACTCGCCAGAATGATAGACTTGGTAATTACGATCGGCACAGCCTAACACGAGGCGCACACCAGGCACATCAGTGGACTTGCTAATCAACATAGAACTGGTACTATTAGCCCCGGGACGCTGGGGTTCATACTGAGGGGAAGATCTGAGCATCTATGGACACATCCGAAGTGCAATAATGATAAACTAACTAAGTAACTAATCTCTCTGACAAATGACATTGTGGCACGTAAAAAATGTTCTTTGAGCAGTAATACTTTATTTTGAAATATTTGGAGAAGAAATTCTTATGTTTGTCTTTGGCATATTGTAAAGTGATTAACACCCTAAATAAATTTCACTAAGATGAAAAATCGCCAAAGCTGCACTTAAGGTTCCAGGCGTGGGTCAACAATATATACAATATAATTTATTGCTTACATCCATAACCCGATTCCACCTGTCACGTGACGGTGAATTCTGTCACAAGCGAAACATCTAGAAGTGTATCAAACAATGTCTGCTCTCAAAATACTTACTAGACCACTCGTCACGATAGAGTAACGGGTATTTTTTTTTTTTTTTTTGGTCATGCTGTACCTGAACGTAACTCTGAATCAAACCCCGGTGTGTTGGGAAACTAATAATTAGATAGAAGGGCTGATGCTACACACATAGGCGGTGAGCTGACGCGGAATAGGTTATATAGTGTCAAAGCCCTTTGGGAGAAAATGAACAATGCGAAAGCGCGATGAGATCATTACGGTATTGAGAGAGAAAGGTATTTCTGGCAGTGACAAGCAGATTTAGTCGACACTAAAGATAAGGATGTAACCCCTATGGTAATGATTATTGTTGATGATGTTTTGATTTGGTGAAGAAAAACAAAAATTAAAAATGTGACCGTATTTAAATCGGTCTGTTGACAGCTTCGGTTATAAGTGTGGTCCGATGATAATATTGATAATATACACAGCACTTCCAAGAGCAGGCAACTCTATAGCGTTGGGGTAATCTTCTAGTTCTACTAGGTGCTGGTCACAGGTAGGCAGAGGGTCACAGGTAGGGAGAGTGTCACAGGTAGGCAGAGGGTCACAGGTAGGGAGAGTGTCACAGGTAGGCAGAGGGTCACAGGTAGGGAGAGTGTCACAGGTAGACAGAGGGTCACAGGTAGGGAGAGTGTCACAGGTAGGCAGAGGGTCACACTACAGTGACAATGGCTACGGACATCCGATCAGTATGGTCACTGCCATGAAGGAAAGCAATAGCAAACTACTTTTTTTAAGACGCCAAGACTTATTGTGGTTTCACATTTAGACATAGACAGTACATGTTTTTTTTTTCTTCTCTTCCGACATGCTATAAGACGGAGTGGGCTCGAGAAATTGTTGACAACTAACAAGAGTGATGGAAAGAGAGCAAGAGAAAGGCAACGAGATAAATACTTGAAAGGACTGGCCAGAAGGATGGGACGAGACAAGAACATTGACCTGATTCTAAATTCTGGTGATTTTGATTTGTTGTTGTTGTTGTTGCTGTTGTTGTTGTTGTTGTTGTTGTTGTTGTTGTTGTTGTTGTTGTTGTTGTTGTTGTTGTTGTTGTTGTTGTTGTTGTTGTTGTTGGGATGACGAAACATAACAGTCTACATTTACCGGCTCAGTACAAAATTGTCGATAACCTAGGATGGGGGATGGGCGTGGTGAGGGGGTGTAAACTAAGCACCCAACAAAAACCTAGGTGATCTCACGGTTCTGATAATTGTGCTGAACAAAAAAAAAAAAAAAAAAAAAAAACCAGAAATTTAACACCTGCACACAGCAGATTAACATTACTTTAAATGTTATTTGAAAGATACAATTACATAAACATATATAGATAAACATATATAGATAATATCATGCTGATATTATCAATGCCCAACGAAAAATGGGAAGGATAGAGGACTTTGGTGGCAGTGAATCCACATCACTCGCCAGAATGGCAGACTTGGGAATTAAGATCGGCACAGCAAAAAACGAGACGCACACCGGGCACGCCAGAAGACTTGTTAATCAACATACAACTGGTACTATTAGCCATCGGACGTTGGGGTTCATACTGAGGGGAGGATCTGAGCACCTATGGACAATTCCGGAGTGCAATGAGGATAACCCAACTAACTAACTAACTAACTAACTAACTAACTAACTAACTAACTAACTAACTAACTAACTATATAGATATTTGTGTGTGTATTACATTTTATTCATCGGTTTTGTTTTTCTAGTTTGATGTGTGTAATTTGAATACATTTGATTGTGTGAAACATGAAGAAATAAACAAAAAAAAAAACTGGAAAACATAAAGATTGAAGGGATAGATTTAGGAATGATAAAGAATATGTATTGACAGCAAACAGCAGTTTTAGGAATTAACAACTATTTGGGAACATTTCAAAGCATAAAGAGGGAAGTAGGACAAGCGTGTATACTATCACCTGATTTGTTTTCATTATACAGTGAATATATAATGAGGTCTGTCATAGATATGCCAGGAATTTAGGTTGGTGGGCACATCATAAACAATCTGCTTTACACTGATGACATCGATTGATAGCGACAAGTCTAGAAAACTACAAGAGTTGATGGATATGGTGGTGTCAACACACGAACTGGCACACGTTGTTGCTGATCGCAGATTGTAGAGAGGCGTGATCGCCCAGTCGGCAAGGTACTTGATGATGATGATGATGTTTATAACTTGTTATTGCTATGGATGATTTTAAAAACATGTCGCTTCAAACTCAGATGTGTGTTGCTTACAACATCTTTCTCCTCAAACTGAGAAAGGAAACAAGAAAACAAAGGAAGAACAAAATGACACTGCTGTTTTCTGTTTGATTACAAAAAGTAGATCTGCAGAAAAAGAGGAACGGAATTTGGGGAGGGGCGCGAAATATGAGATTTGTTTTCAAATTAAATAGGGGATGTAAGTCAACAAATTTCTTAACAAATGTAATGCCTCGGTATAACAATCAGGAATGCATTTCTCTACACGGAAGAGGAGATATAAGAAAATACAAAAAGACCAGGTTCAATGCCAGATTAATATCGGTTCAACTTTTCTGCTTCTTCTTCTCCCTCTGCTTGTTCCTCGTTGTCAGACTGGGTCCCTTTCAGGCACCTTTCAGCCAGGTAGTGATCATCGTCACCAGGCGCAGGATGTCGACTTTCTTTATTGTCACGTGACTGGTCTGTTTGCCTACAGCAACATGCGTGCCCATAGATGACCGCACTGATGAAAACCCCTGTGGCAATAACGGTCATGGTAACAAATACTTTGTTGAATGTGTTAGACATCATAATGGGCTCAATTGTGCAGAAAATACAGACAATGAGAGAGGCAAGCAACATCACCCATATGGCGTCAAATACCAGGGTTTGATGGTTTCTTAATACGTTCCATGCAGTCTGGCCATGGGAGCGCTTAAAGAGCTGTTCAGGTTTCGTTGTAGAAATAAAAAGATAAAAAGTTGACATTAAAATAATAATTAACGTTGTACATGTAACTAAAGTAACGTCAAATGGTTCACAATTCGGAGGCTCTGTTGTTGCATTCGGAGACTGGTTCCTCTCACCGCTGCCTAAAGTGCCATTAAACAGCATCTTTCCTTCTGCACTGTTTTCTGCATCGTTGGTCGTACCTTTTGAGCATAAATTGTAAATTATTGTAAGCCAGTACACAGAGAGTTGTTTTTTTTTTTTTAGCTGCAACAGTTGGAAATAGAAGTGATATTAATGTAAAGTGATACAAAGAATGCCCCCTCCTCCACAGCCTCCCCCATACCCTCCCCACCCCCGGCCCCCACAGCCAGACACAAACAATTAAATGAGCAAGACTCTGGATAACCGATGCGTGTGAGTAATGGGGTACCCTGACAACAGCAGGCGTGTCCCCCACCCATACCCACTTTAACCCTAGCACCCGACACACTTCCGCCAATGTTGTCTGTGAACTGGGGGTGGGGGGGGGAATTTTACAGTCACTTTGAATTCAGTGCCTCAGTTAAATACAAGCCTATCGATTCACTAGGCTTTGCTTCCCATGAGAACCCTGGTAACTCACGAGCAAAGGTAGTTACTTTAGCAACAAAAATACAATGAAGCAAATAAACGAATCGGTTGAATGCAAACACACGTCTCCAGCACATTCAACAGTAACTGCATATTTTACCAAGTGAAATTAATATTAGCCATCTCCCTATACAAACGAATTGTTTTTGCTACCCACTGACCTGTTCTTTCTTCAGAAGTGTTGTCGTCATCTGGGGATTCCTCCGCACAGACATCATCATGGAGAAGTTGACATGTTCTCACTTCCCGCCGACATTTTTTACAAAGTGTACATTGTGCTTCCTCTAACAATGACGTTGTGTTATGGCTCCGGAAGTAGAGCTCTTCACATCCAAAAACTGTTGGCGAAGTGCTGCTGCAAGGTTGCAAGATGGCAGCGTGATTTGTGGAGTTATCAGACAAGGCTTCACACTTTACACACTCTGTGTTCCTGTGACTTTGTGCCTGCATGTAGGTTCCATCAGGGCAAGACATGCATCTTTCAAGAGTTGTATCATAATACATCCCTGCCCCACAAGGAGGCGGTCGTTTCTTGCATTCATACTTTCCTTGGCAACCCAAGACAGCATCGTGATGAAAGGGACAACAGAATGTATCATTGTAACCTTGGCAAGGCCGTGCTGGTAAACCAGACTCACATTTTCGACATACCTCACATGTGTCCTTGTCTTGGACTGTCTCGGCTTTCTTTCTGTAGTACCCGTCGACACAACGAATCTCTGTATCGCGAGTTCTGTTGCATTCGGTAAACACCAACTCCAAGGAACTATTTGTTTTCGAACAGAAATTGCATTCTCTGTTCGTGTGATCTGTCTCAGACATGAAAGATCCGGGATCACACGGAATACACACGTCCCCACCTTCAGGTTTTGCTGGTGTGTGGAGCCGTTCTCCGGGGTCGCACCTGATCACACACGCCAGACTTTTGCTGAGAATCAAGTACTGTAGAATCTCGGCGACTAGCATCAGGTACATTGTCGGGCCTTTGGGAAACATCTTCCTTATTGTTTTAGATTGTTTTATGAGTGTTTGCAGTGTCAGAAATCAGTTGCTTTAACGAGCAAATCCTGAAAGAATAGGATGATAAAAAATGTCACTTGTTCGATCTGTCTCACAAACAATTATATGTTCAATAAACTAAAAAAAACCCAGGGACTATTTTTATACTAGTGGAGCGCGATGCTAGCTACATATTATTTATGTATGTGCTGATGAAGCCTCTATTGCCGGAACGTTGACGTTGTATTTGTGTTCGTTATATTGTGAATCATGCTTATCTACTTTTTTTTCTGTTTCATACTTGATAGCTACATATTAAAACCATCAGAATTAGAACTTCACCTGGCTGCTGAAGATAGGGCCTGAGCGACTGTGGGGATGTCCTGAGTGCTATGATTCGATTTTTAACTCAACGCAGGTCAGCTGAACTTACACCAATTGACACTCTATGGGTATTGTTGTAAACATCCCACAGACCGTCTTTACTTCACAAGACTTTTCCCGATACTCACTTTAGCCAGGGCTGGCGTGATACCAAGCGCATATAAACAGTACCAACCGCTTGAGGTGTTATGCTAATTACATAAAAATAGATACTAACTCCATGAGGCAATATAAACTCAACTAACTACATGAGCAATATAAACCTTAAAATAAATGGAAATCTATAAAAATTCAACATAACCATGCAATCGGAAAGTTTGAAATAAGATCATAAGTATGCGAAATCGTCATATTTAATTATCAACTGGTTTACCCACATACCTGTACATTTTTGTTTTAGTAATTAGGGTTGCATGGCTAGTGCTGTTGCCACGACAGTGCAGGTAAGAGTTCAAAAAAAAAATCAAATGCCATACCGGGAATTCGAACCGTGGTCTCCCGCAAGGTACCACCTTCGTTGTCTGATGACAAAAAACATCAGCGGGTTGAGTACATAAGAGACATAATCAAAACAAGAATTTTTGGCCCCAAAACAAATGTGTGTTCTCAGACTTCCAGCCTATTCCCCAGATTTGTCTCCATGTGATTATTTTCTATTTCCAAAATTAAAGTTACGACTAAAATGACACTTCTTTAACGACACTGATGACATCCAAAGCGCCGTAACATTGACTTTGTGGGCCATAACAGAAGAACTACAAAGGTAGTTTAAGTGTTTGTTAGATCGTTCCACTTGCAGTATTGCAGCACAAGGGGCTTACTTTGAATATAATATATGTTATATCTTCAACTGTTGATTATTTCAATTTTTAGTCTCATTTCTTAATTGTCAGACCTTGTATGTATGTGTGTGTATGTGTGTGTGTGTGTATGTATGTATGTATGTATGTATGTATGTATGTATGTATGTATGTATGTATGTATGTATGTATGTATGTATGTATGTATGTATGTATGTATGTATGTATGTATGTATGTATGTATGTATGTATGTATGTATGTATGTATGTATGTATGTATGTATGTATGTATGTATGTATGTATGTATGTATGTATGTATGTATGTATGTATGTATGTATGTATGTATGTATGTATGTATGTATGTATGTATGTATGTATGTATGTATGTATGTATGTATGTATGTATGTATGTATGTATGTATGTATGTATGTATGTATGTATGTATGTATGTATGTATGTATGTATGTATGTATGTATGTATGTATGTATGTATGTATGTATGTATGTATGTATGTATGTATGTATGTATGTATGTATGTATGTATGTATGTATGTATGTATGTATGTATGTATGTATGTATGTATGTATGTATGTATGTATGTATGTATGTATGTATGTATGTATGTATGTATGTATGTATGTATGTATGTATGTATGTATGTATGTATGTATGTATGTATGTATGTATGTATGTATGTATGTATGTATGTATGTATGTATGTATGTATGTATGTATGTATGTATGTATGTATGTATGTATGTATGTATGTATGTATGTATGTATGTATGTATGCATGCATGCATGCATGCATGTATGTATGTATGTATGTATGTATGTCTGTCTGTCTGTCTGTCTGTATGTATGTATGCATGCATGCATGTATGTGCTCCCCCTCCCCACTTCCAAATTGCTCTTGTTTTTTTAATTTTTTTGGGTTATTATTATTATTATGGTGAATGACAAATAAATCGAAAACCTGACAGGAAACAATATGAAGTACACGCACACAATCATAATTAAAGAGAATTAATAATTTGAATTGTATCTTCAATCTAGAGAATTGATTAACGGGCTCATTTTAGTCTCCTCGGAAAATTAGTGGGCTTCAGGCTTGTGGCCTTAAGGAATGTCAGCGGTGCCCAAAAGATCAGTGATACTATATTTTGGTCATGTTCTAAATGAAAATAATGTCAAGTAATCTATGAATCATTTTTTTTTTTTTTTTTTTATTATATCATTTTCCTTGCACATTCTTAATCTACTTAAGACATTTTCTTAAACTGGCTTCGCGAACTTTCATTTCAAGTCTGTTTGGTTTAATTTGTGCACATATAGCAAAAGTATACAGCATTATTTGTATAAAACATACAGCAATATAATATGTGAGCTTACATTGCTCGTATAGATGTAATTAAACAGTGAAATGTTCTAGTAAAATCTTGTCTTATATGTTCGTGAGCTTCGGTCCAGGGAGCAACTTCTGGCTTGAATGGGAATTCTCGAAACCTGCTGCTGTATCCGTCTTTAAAGACGAAGGTGTTTTGTTGTCCGAAATCAACGAAAGAATAAAACATCTAACAATAGAGAAATTATAATGTCATTATTATTGCATACCTTGACTCCATATTTATAGCAATTATAATCCTCTGTCATTGCTAAACCTTTCCTTCTTTTCCCATTGATTAATGGATGCAGTAATATCGGGTTTACACGGCGACCTTTGATCGGGTAAAGGGTATTCCCCGAATTATTTTATTAGCCAAAATAGATACTGACGACGGAGAAATGTAAATGTTACTACAATGAAAACCTTTTAACATCCACATACTTCAAAGATGCATTAATATTTGTCCCCTTTTGTATGGTGTTTCTTCTAGCACGAACTAGATTTTTGGTCTGTTGGCATCCGTGTGAACAAAGTTATATTGCAATTATGAGTATGTTCGCGGCGTCCGTGGCTAAGACGTTGCGAGTCTGACTCGTAATCCAACGTACCGCGATCGAAACCTGCGTGGGCTGCGTGGATTTTTATCGTGGTATGGGACGTCGAAGGTCGACCCTGCCTCAAATGGGTACCAGGATGGGCTGACCTGGGAAAGTAAAGACGGCCGGCGTAATGCTGACCACATTACCCACCGAGTGCTGATTGGTCTGTAAAAATATGGGTGCTCTTCCCAGCCCAGAAGTAGACAATCTAGGCTTTCAGTTTAAATGTTACTCAGATTGTATTAGAATATCATGGATCAAAAAGATGAGGAAGAAAGAACATTGGCCGACTACAAGATAGGATTGTTCTTTTAGTGGATGAGGTTCTTTGTGGAGATCTCTTAGTAGATAAGGTTTTTAGTGAAGATCTTTTAGTGGATGAGGTTCTTTGTGGAGATCTCTTAGTAGATACGGTTTTTAGTGAAGATCTTTTAGTGGATGAGGTTCTTTGTGGAGATCTCTTAGTAGATACGGTTTTTAGTGAAGATCTTTTAGTGGATGAGGTTCTTTGTGGAGATCTCTTAGTAGATACGGTTTTTAGTGAAGATCTTTTAGTGGATGAGGTTCTTTGTGGAGATCTCTTAGTAGATACGGTTTTTAGTGAAGATCCTTTAGTGGATGAGTGGATGAGGTTCTTTGTGAAGATCTTTTAGCGGATGAGGTTTTTAGTGGAGATCTCTTAGTGGATAAGGATCTTGGTGGATATGTTTTAATGGGTGCCGTTTAACTGTCACGTTCCAGATGAAGTTTTCTAGTGATAATTACGTTTTATTCCACCCAAACCTCATGGCAGAACTTTAGAGGTGGCCGTGGCCATTGAATTAACCGAATGTGTCGATTCCTCTCCACAAAATATATGGCTAACACATTCTGTTTCTCGGGACAGCTTTTATCGAGTTTGCTCTCTGGACAGTTGCAGTCCCCTGCTGACGAGATTCTGTCTTCCCGAGTGGACCGCAGATATCAAAACATTGCGAAGGCAGTCAAAACTATCAGTCTTTATCCCGCCCAGACATAGCACAACCACAATACATGCAGCTCCTACGATAAACACTTAGCACAATCACAATACACGCTGCTCCCCAAAAAAAAAACACATAGTATCCTGCGTTGGAAATGCGCACAAAATAGAAGTCCATGATTATGAAACAGAACAATTCGAGAGGATTGACAGCCAGCGAAAAAAAACATAGCTGCCATTCGCCATTTTGAAAACAGAAGTCCGAACTTTATAGGTAAGAACTTACCTGTCAGCAAATCTGTGTAATTGAACTTTTACCTATTATCATGTTTAATATAACTTGCTGAAATATCTACACATTAAGCCCTTTATAGAAGTTATACAATAATGCAAAAATTACGCAACAGAAGCCAAGTTAAAGACTGGGTGGACTGTAGGATGTTCACTGTCCTTTAGAAATACCCGACATCAACGTTGTACCTGAAGAAACAACAAGTTCTTGAATGTTCGATTAGTTTGTGACGATTGTGATGCGCACTTTCTTAGAAATGTCCTTCCGCATAGCCAAGTAGTCCTCTTTTCAAATACATATACAGTTGTAATTTTTAATATTGAGTTTCATTTAATCATCCTAGTATGCAATGTTTTTTTCTTTCTAGCCACCCCCCCCCCCCCCCCCCCCCCCCTCCCCCCCCCCACCTCTTCCCATTTGATTAGGAACTCGTCCGAAAACAATTAGAGAACTTTAATTTCTCCACAGGTAAATCATCAACCGGGAATTTCCCTTGTCATAAAAGACTTTCCCGTTGCTTCTGTCTTCAATAGATCAGCGTATTTCAATTTTTTTACCGCGGTCCACTA